CACAAAAAGAAAAAGAAAAGAGAAAAAACAACTGAATTTAATTAAATTGAGATGACTACAGAGTGGCAGTAAGAAAGCACCTAGCAACCACCCGGAATGGTCATTTTTGACCGAAAAATGTTACTTTTTTTTTTTTTTTTTTAGAATTAAGGTCCTTGCACACCGAGTCCGAAATTTTCGTATGCGTTTTTTCGTATTCGTCAACCTAAAAATTCGTCACGCACAGAAACCTTGCACACTGAATCCGATGCGTATTAATTAATCCGTTGCAAAAAAATTCGCAAAACAATACAAAACGGAGTCTTCAAGCAGTGAGGATGATTTTGTTGTGCTCTCTCTTCTTAAAAAGAGAAAAAGAAAGTGGAAATATTGGATCCATCATCCAACCTAAGGACAGTTCCAACTCCTTATGAAGGAGCTGCGGGATTATTCCGGGCGATTCAAAGTTTACTTCAGGATGTCAGTGGCTCAGTTTGATGCTTTGCTAGCAATACTGGAGGCACATATTTAAAAAGAAGACCACCAATTTCCGTGACCTCAGTGTGCAAGGACCTATACAGTGCTTTGTGCTGCGAGAAGAAGCAGATCAACTTGTCAGAAGTCTCTCAACCTCTCAAAATGTTTGCTACGGATGCGAAAAATGCAGAAAATCAAACCCGATACAAATTTTTTTATGGCAAAAGTTTCTGAGGCAGTGTGTAAACATGATTGACAGAACTTGAGTTCGTATTTATTTTTTAACGTGCATAAATTTCGGATTAAAATTTCAGACTCAAATGTGCTAGAACCTCATTTTCGAACCTCGAACGAATTTCATCTAGTGGAAACGTTTGGTACTGCGCCCAAACAAAACCTTACTACTACTTTTTTTGCAATATCAACCTCAAATTTAAAACACAACTTGTATAGATTTATGGCTTTGATTTTCTCAGTTTTAGAGTAAAACATGTTTTGGAAAATATATATTTCATATAAAATTAAAACCACATAGCAACACCCTGGCAACCACCTAAAACACTAGAAAATACACTTGGAGCACACAAGGCATTGCTATGTGGTTGTTATGGTGTTCTAGGTTGCTAGGCTAGTTCTAGGTCTTGACCACTGATCTATATATATGACTTATATGTTCTCTATTATAGATCAGTGGTCTTGACCCAAAACATCCTAGTAGCAACCACAAGGCAATGCCGTGGAAACCACCTAAAACAACCTAGTAACTACATAGCAATGCCCTGGTAACCATTCATAACACCCTGGCATCATGGCAGTGAGTTTTGCACGGGAAAGCAACACATGTTTTCTTCAAAAAAATCTGGTCTATTTTTTGGACACATCTAATCCTCGACTCAAAATTCTGACCAATGACAGGCAGAGAGAGATATTTGCGGATAGTTGTACAACTGACATCCCTGGAGCAATGTCACAGGGATCGGGTCCCCTGCACAAGGTCAAATGGTGAGGGGTTACATGGGACGCAATGGGTGAATCACATGGTAGCAGCCCTGGGGAACAGGCAACTTCTCTGACCTTTCCTCCTTCTCTCAAATCATCCAAACTCTCGAATGCAGTAAAACACTACCAAACAGTTCATTATTAAAAAGGTTATATTATTAACTTTAAACATGTTTGTTTTGAATACAAATCGCTACAAGGATAACAGGGATTTCTGAATGGTTGCCAGGGTGTTGCTATGCAGTTGCTAGGCTGTTCTGGGTTATTGCCAAGACATAGAACTAGCCTAACAACCTAGAACACCCAGCCACATAGCTAAGTCGCTAAATGTCACAGTTGATGCCATACACTAATTAGCATATTCATGGCGTCATTATTTTTATACAGCCTATTTCAATTTTCGGGATAATCCGGATTTATAAACAAAGCATCGTCTAACAAAATCACCATACGCATAAGTTAAAGGTAACGGCTGTGTTTTCAGATATATTTACATGTGAAATGATAACGAGAGAACAGAGAAAACATTACAAACGACAGAATGTCAGCCTTATGTTTTTGTTTTGTTTGTTAATAAAAAAAATAAAAATAGCTCGTCGCAAAACATCACTAAAAGTCACATCAACAATGAGAAAGTTGATCAATTTGGTGACAAAATCCCCAAACTGGCAGCACTGCAGATCATTCTTTGAATGCAAGTCTGGGGTATTTTTTTTTATAATCTAGGTTAAGCTAATTTTTATATATACTAACACATTTTTTTATATATTTAGAAATACATACATTTATAAATATATTTCTAGTTGTATAAATTAGCATTAGATAATGTATCATGAACAAACATAAATTAACAATAGTATATTTCTAAATTAACCTAGATTAATAAATGCTGTAAAAACCCACTGTCCATTGATAACTGACTAATGTTAACATTAATGTTAACGAAGTGAACCTCACTGTAAATCATCCTATTTTTAACAGCATATTTTTGTATTCTTATACTTTGATATATAAATTTATATTTAAATCTATTATAAATGAATTTATTTAAATAATTAACAAAATGCGTTTAAAAATTAAACAAACTAATAACCACGGTTACTTGCAAATGATTTGATATCTGAAAATAAAACTGAAAACAAACAAAAAAAAGAACTTAAATATCTTCTGTTTATCTCCCATCATATGAAAATCATAAACGTGATCATTCATTATAAGTATTAGCACAGACATCCTCAAGAAGCAATAGTAGTTTAAGCAATAGTAATAGTGATATTTGTCTTTTGCAAGCTCAACTTACATGTGACTGATTACTGAAAGAATTAGCCCACTTTCTGTTTTGACTTAAAGGCACTTTTACTGGCAGCTGAAAGCATTTTCAAACCCATCTAAATATTTAATAACACACATGCAGGAGAGATGTGTAGATATTTGTGGGTGTTCAAATTCTGCCAGAGTCTACAGAGCTTCCAGCTGAATTCTCCACGCAGGCCTACCAGTCAGTTTTACTTACCTGAAGGATAAGGACGAAAAAGTCGACAGGTTTTCCGCGCTGATATAAATAGTGCTGTTGCGAGCGCTTGTCGTTCTCGTTGAACTTAATCTCCTGAATGACATCCGGGTGCTTGAGGATACGCAGTAAGACCTTGTCTGAAATCTGGAGCGGATTGAAAAGGCTCACCTCTGTGGAAAGATGGGCAACAACAAAGATCGGCTGTTATTTGCAATAACAAATGCTCAAAGAGAGAGGTGATAATCAGCGTCTTATAGTCGCAACAGCTCACCAGTAGCGAGGAAACGATGCGCTGCTAGCATTAGTTGAGGCGATATCTTGACTTGGGATTCCCTCTCATGTTTGAAAGCAGAAAAGTCCCTCTTGTTCTTGTTGGGATCCACTTTCTTTCTGTTACTATTGTCAGCTAGAAGGCAAAAAAATTATTAATCTCTCAACCAATGCGTAACTTGTTTCCGAAAAGCATCATAAGCCCAGGTATCACTAGGGATGTAATGATTCACGATACTGATTTCACAATACGATTTTCTCACTATTCTATTTTATTTTTTTACAAAATGAGATTTAAGACAAATTATAAATAAGGTGTCTTTAATTATTTCTCAGACAAAATGCTGCACATTTCTTTGTGAAATTGAAATATGTAAAATAACAAAACTAAATTGAAATTTTAAAACATCTCAAATCAAATAAATAAATAAATACAAATAAAAGAAATCGCTTCATATTAGCAAACTAAGGCTTTTGCCTGTGCTCTTTCCCTTTAAAATTAGAGGCAATTGGACGCAGCATACAAGCAGAATGAGCAGCTGTTGATTTAAACTAGATTGCATAATTTTGAAATTTGAAGCAGAAACAGAATGGTTTGACTTCAGCTTTGTGAAACTATACTATATAAATCATATCTGCATGAAACAAAAACAGCAGACGGGTTGAATAAGAACACAAATTCACTCTCTGCCAGCAGGTGGCGCTTATGGAACAGCAGCGATGCTGTAAACAAAGCAGCGCTGCACTTATAAATACTTCAATATGCATTTTACAGAGGCAAGATGAAAAGAAAATACCATCTAAACTTTTCTGAAGTCAGTCAGTTCTCCTCAGAGGACTCACCCCCAATTGTGTCGCAATTCGTTTAACATCTCAACCGACTCAAATGTTTTTATCGATTTCAACCGGCTCGACATGCATCGTTACATCCCGAATTGGCACCAATAATCTCAATGATCTACTTAGGCTTACGATGCTTTTGGGAAAGCCTAGATCAATAAATCAACTGAACCAATTAATAAATCAATTACATTTCCATGGGTAATCTCATGTCTAGACTAGGGCTGTGCAATTAATCGCATGCGATTGTCATGCGCATCTCGTCAGTAAAGCCGGTTCCGTGATTAGTAGTAAATCACGTGCGTTCAGATGGAGCGGCATTTACTACACAGAGCCGGAGTTCACTGACAAGCTAGGCAATATCGCGTTCATTATCGCAGGCAATTCGATCTGCGATAATGAACACGATATTGTCTAATTGTCAGTGAACTACGGCTCTGTGTAGTAAATGCCGCTCCATCTGAAAGCAGGTGATGCATATTGAAGTATTTATAAGTGCAGCGCTGCTTTGTTTACAGCATCGCGGCTGTTCCATAAGCGCCACCTGCTGGCAGAGAGTGAATTTGTGTTCTTATTCAACCCGTCTGCTGTTTTTGTTTCGTGCAGATATGATTTATATAGTATTGTTTCACAAAGCTGAATCTGCTTCAAATTTCAAAATTATGCAATTTACTTTACTGGCAAACAAGCAAGAAAATAACTATCACGAATGTACTGTAGAGATCAGACTCGTCCAGGATCTCAGATTTGATGATCTCCTCAATGACGTCCTCCAGCGTGACCAGACCCAGAACCTCGTAGAACGGATCTCCTTCGCCCTCATTATTCACCTTCTGAACGATGGCCAGGTGGGATTTACCTGTGGACAGAGCCAAAGATGTTGAACATTGGGAAAATGGTAATTTAAATGTTCCAAGTGTTGTAATTGCAAACTGAATGGCTGTTTAATGGTTATTAAGATTTAGTTCACACCAGGCTAGGAAACCCACTGAGTGGGTGTAGAATAATTCAAACCATATTCCTATGGAAGCACTGCATGGATATGCATATTAATGAGCTGTATTATCACTGCAGTCTGAAAACCCCATGAATTATTCATCATCTTGTTTTATCCGAGGGGCCGTATCAATCATAACCATTTAAGCAATACTGGACCATAGGGCTTCATGTTTGAAGCCAAAAGAGTTGGATCAGAAGTGCTACTAAACTTAGAGCTCAAAGAGTTTAGGAGCGGGAAATGATGGAGATGTCTGGGGATTAGAAATAGAAAGGAAAAAGGGAAGGATGGAGCAAGACAGGAGCAGTTTTCATTTTAGTTTCAGTTTTAGCTAACTATAATAACCCTAAGCATACATTTTAACAGTTCATAATGCAATTACAATTAGTTAACTAACATGAACTAACAATAAGCAATATATTTTTTTACAGCATTTATTAACCTTTATTAATGGTAGATAACCAAGTTTGTTCACAGTGCGCTTACTAATGTAACCAGATACAACTTTTTGAAATTAAAAATGTATTAGTAAATGTTGAGATTAATTAAGATTAATACATGCTATATTAGTTTTGTTAATGGTTAGTTCATGTTAACTGATGTAGTTAACTCATGTTAACAAATAAAACCTGTAAGAGCTTAGGAGCGGGAAATGATGGAGATGTCTGGGGATTAGAAATAGAAAGGAAAAAGGGAAGGATGGAGCAAGACAGGAGCAGAAGACACTTTGACTTTTTTTTTTTTTACGTTAAGAGGGAATCTGAAAACGCTGCACAATCAACACTACTGTACAAAAGCTGTATAATATTGAATTTGTACAACACTTAATGCTCAAATCTGAACCAAAATAAATGGATGGACTAATACAGAAGTTCTGACCAACACCGACAACCAATTATAATTTTTTTGTTATATGTTAATGCATGTTTTTCCCCACTAAAGCTTTGAACTATATTTAAAATACAAGTAAAATCAGGCATTAAAACATGCTTCTAAATAAAAAAAAGCTTCAAACTTTGTTCACATCACTAACCCTAAACACTTTTTTTTTAATGACTAAAATGATATCATGTATTTCTAATAAGTGACCTTAAATAGAGGAAATATGCAAATTTATTTCTGAAATCCAGGGATTTAGAGTAAGATCAAGCCTTATTTTATAATACAAAAAGCATCAGACAAGCAGACTGCTTAAGAGAAGAGCTAATATTTTGTCGCTGAAATACACTCCAGTGTTCCTGAGGGATCGCATTTAGCAAACCACCCACATTTACTTATTTGCATACTCATAAGCTTTTTTACATACATTCATATCTCAGTGGAGCTCATTTTAAACAAATAGTAAAACACATTTGAATAGGGTTTGGAGTTTCTACAAATTTATCATCAAATGCAGCAAAAGCAATGTCCTGAGTTGACATTCTGGACAATACAGTGCCTGTCACATTGCTTTTGTCTCTCTGTGGCACCTCTGCAGTGCTGCAGTGATTGGGAGAGGAAAAATGCAGTGGGATGAACTTCAAACCACCAATCATTTTAAAACACCGCCCATCCAACTCATCTTTAATCAAACACATCAATACTCTGTGGCAAAATGTGCTTCAACAGTTTGTACAAAAATTAAACCAGCATAATTGTTATGATTAAAGTCAATAAAGTGAAATAAAATATTAACATTCATGCATTTGGCAGACACTTTTATTATTTTCTTTGCATATAAGGTATATGCAATGTTATCACTGAGATGTTAATATCAATTATATATATCATATAAACTATACAGATATATTTTTATTACCATCTGTTTTAATTTTAATTTTTGTTACACGTTTAGTAATTTTGTCATTTTTAGCATTTTATATATATATATATATATATATATAAAAT